TATATATATATATATATAATATTTTGCTAGTTTTGTATGTAAAAGTGTTTCTCTTTTTAAGTATGTATCCTTTTTGTTGCGAGGAAAGATTTGAATGGTATTAATGCTAACATAAAAAATACATGGAATTAGTTTTATGCTTAGAAGTGCAAATTGACTTCACCTTTTCAACTATTTTTCAAAATGGAAAAGAAAATCCTCGAATTTTCTCCCCTCACTCTGCCGTCCTCCTCAGGAACACCGCTCTGCCTCCGTACTAGCATCTCCTGCCCCGATCCGCCACGCAGACCTAAAATGATTTGGCACCCACCACTAATCTACCATTAAAGCCACGCGTCCGTTTTATACTTTGTGTTGCAAGTTATGGTCTTTTTTACTGGTCCTGTTAGGGAACTCCAGTGGACCAAGGACAATGGAGCAAGGTAAAAGCCAAAGAAAACCGCGGCTCAAACCCATTCCGTCACCATGCTTGGAGATCTTTTTCTCTAAAAGGTTCGTTTCAACTCATCTCCGTTTCTCTCTGGTGCGTCTTCCGGTGGAAGATAGCTTTCCAGTTTTAGCCCTTGTGATCTTTGAAAGAAAGGGGAGGCGGGAGATCTGATATTCCTCTGCACTCTCCATTTAAGGAAATCCCCCTTCCTCACAGATCGATCATCTTCGATCTAAGGTATGAAATAACCATCGCCGTTTTTATTAAAATTTAACTGTCTTATTCATTCGATACGTTGTAAAAGGTGAGAAATTTCTTCTTATTCTTATTATTTTTTTCCTTTTCTCTGCTGTTCTTTAATTTGCGCGATCGGTAGGTGAACGGATTTTTGTTGGGTCGACGTAGCTAACCTTTGGAATTTCCAGCTTATTATTGTCTGATCGCTGGAATTTTTTGGTAATCGAGCTTTCATTCTGGTTGGTGCTGTTGTTCGTGAGAGTCTTATCTTTCTTCGGAGAAACATTAATTTACTTTGTATCATGATCCATAGTTTTTTTTTCCCCTAGATTGACAGCTTTCTTTCGATTTTGTTTGGGTGATTTTTGTTTGTTTTTACTGCATATTGTTTGTAGATAAATGCTGAAGATAACCGTGTTTTCTTTCTTCCTGGAAATATGAAAAGCAAATGTTGGGGGTAATTGTTTAATGCATTTTTTTTTTTCAGTTATAGAAAAAAAAAATCTTTGAACGAGCAAAATATTTGGCGTTGATCAATATTTCAGTTTATTAATGTAAATCAACTTGTCTGTAGATAGGCTATTGAAAAAAAAAGGGCTCCTTATGGTACCACCTGGTTAACATTCTCTATTTTATATAGAACTGGCATGTCTTCATCCATATGCCCGCCATCATCAGATCCATATAAAGTAGTTGCATGAATGATTTTCTTAATTTACACTGTAGGAGAGTGCCTTTTAGAGATGATTCAAATTTCTGATTTTTTTACTTTAAAGAGTATTACATATATTGAGAGCTTCATAATGTTATGCATTTCAGCAGTTTTTAAGTGATTTCATTCAAGTTTAATTTTTGTTCTTCCCAAATACCTTGGCAGAAAAAAATGGTTATGGAAGTACTCGGGGCAGATATCACCCCTGGGCAGGCAAAAACTGCAATTGATGAGGATGGAAGTGTGGAAAGAAATAGAAGGATTAATAAGGCTGATGGCTCAGACAAGTCTGATTTAGTGGATGGTTCAACTATGGTGAATGGAGAGACTAAAGAAGTTGAACATGCGCTTGATTCTGTGGTCCCTAAGGATGCTATAGATGAGTGGCCTGAAGATAAGCCAACACATGAATTCTATTTTATTAGATACAGATCTTATGAGGATCCAAAGTTGAAAGCAAAAATAGAAAATGCTGATAAGGAGGTTCAAAGGAAAACTCAAGCCCGGATGCAGATCACAGAGGCATTGAGGGAAAAAAGGGTAGGTTATAATTTAATTAGTTAATCCCCGATTCATACATTTTATCTTCTCTTTTCATGATATTGGAAGCAGAAAAGTTTATAACCTTATGCACTGTTAGTGTTTCTTAAGCATATTTGGCTTTTTTTTTTTTTAGCATAAACTGGCACTTTTTCTCTAATGGTATGTGATTATCTGTTGCATGACCACTAAGACATTCTGTGACTTTTTGTAGTCTGAAAAAGCTGATCTGATCTCACAATTAAAACCATTGCAAGAAGAAGAAAGGCAGTTCCGGGCAGTTATGGATGGAAAAAGAAAGGAAATGGAACCTCTTCAAACTGCTTTGGGCAAGCTTCGGGGTACAAAAAATGCTGCAACAGAAAAAGGTGCAGGGTTGTGCTCTTCAGAGGAAGAGCTTAATGAAACTGTGAGTGCTAGCTGCTTGATTTCAAGCAATGTTTCTAGTTCTTTAGCACATTAGCAAAACACCTGATTTTTCTTCAACAGATCCATAGCTTGCAGTACTGCATTCAACATGAAAGCAATACCTTGGCTGTGGAGAAACAGCTGCTTAAAGAAATCAAACAACTTGAAGCGTCAAGGGAGAAAGTTATTGCTAATGCTGCCTTGAGGGCTAAAATTCAAGAGTCTTATGGTCAGAGAGATGCCATCCAGGATCAAGTTAAAGTGAGTTTGATTTTGATGCACTTTGATATGCATCTTGACCTAGTTTGATATTCTTGCATGCTCTAGAATTTGAGTTTCTAATCAATCTGAAAATTTCAGCTAATAGGCGCTGATATTGATGGAGCAAGAAAAGAACAACAAGGAATCAGGTCAAAAATCCAGCATCTGGAGGAAAAGCTAAATAGTGTAAGGGCGGAGCTTGATTCCTTACAAAATGAACTAGTAGCCATCAATGAAGCTAGGGACAAGGCGTATCAGGCATTTACCTTGCTAAGGAAGGAACGAGATGAGTTGGTAAAATCTGATCCATAAGCATACTTGACATGATATCATGATTTTGATCATAAATATTTTTATTTTCATAAGCGTAAATAGCAATTTTTAACTTTCCATTAATTTTTATATTATATAATAGCAAAATGAACAGTTTTTGTGGAGCCCGTCTCTCTGAGCATGTAATATTTTATAATGTTAATTCTTGAATCTCTATTTGATGGCGGCATAGCTTCCTGAAAGTAATCATTGAGCGAAGAGTGCTTTCTAATTATATATAATCATACCAATATATCAGTTCACTCTAATTTTTAATTTTTAACTGTACTGTAATAAAAGGATTATTCTTTTTCTTTTTTTTTGAAATGAATAGAAGATTTTAAAGTTCCATTTAGAATCATTTGTTGGCTTCCAGTCATGTTACTTGGGACATTTAGGAAATACATGTTTCTCGTACTAATGTTGTTTTTACAGACAGATCCTCTTTGTCTTTCAAAGTAGTTTAAAAAATAATAATATTTATTTACTTCATTTTATAGTTACTATTCTTTTATTTATGGTCAGGCGTGATTTTTTTCCTCATAACGTTAGTTTAGAATTTAGTATTGATTATTTGCATCATTGGTTTAAATAACTTTTATCCAATTCAATGTCTCTTTTAGGTTCAACATTGATATGGGCTTCGATTGATCCAGTTATGACGGATTGCTAAACCTCATCTTGTTTCCCCTCCCATTGCTTCAGCCCTCCAAAGAGATGAAGACGATTTTGAGCTCAAGAGGCTTTTGTAATTTGAGAGGTGAGGTTGGGGTCAGCGGATGGCTCGGGGTGAGAGTAAAAGAAGGGGAGAGAATGGTACTTGGCTTAGACACCAATTAGTAGAGGGAGAGAGGCTATAGCGTTGTATCCATGGAGATGAAAAGGAGAGGGAAGAGAGGAGAGTCGAATAAGGTGCGAAGGATTTTATTTGCTCTCTATGGCTTGCCTAGACATGACCGCCCTCTCTCTCTCTCTCTCTTTCTCTCGTTATGGCTAACCTATGTTTTATCTTGAGCTGTTGATCATCTTTTACCTCAACTCCCCACTCTGATCACGGCAATCATTAGCTTCACATTTATTGTTCCTTTTCATCTTCAGGGAGGTATTAAGCCATGCAAATGGAAATTAGATCATGTTGAACAGTCTATCACCGTCCGATAGATCGCCACTTACAGTAGTTATTCAAGGCATTTTAATGATAGAATCTTGAGTTGGTTGACCAACAATGAAATTTCTAGACAACAGCAAGCAGACAAAACATTTAGCTATGAGTGAGTTAGTTAAATTGGTTTGCAGGCTTTACATTTCAACACAATAATTAAGCATTTAACATGACAAGAACTCAACATATAGTGAGCAACTAACACAAAAATCAACAAATTACTGGGCTGAATCGATAAACACTTGAACTGTGAAGTAAGTAGAGTTTTCTAAGTAAAAATATACTAAGATTAAAGAGATGAGCATTGATTCAAGTAGGAAAATTCACTCTAATGCTAAACTGATCCTTGCCGCCATTACATCGGTTAATCTCATCCACTTTTAACTCCTGTGGCTTGAAATTTTTATGTGGTCAGAAAGCTTAATGCTGCTGCAATTGGAGAGGGTAATTGAGTTAGAAGCTAGATGATGGCTGTTGATGAGAGGAGAAAAGGGTGAGATTATGATCATTTGCTTTACTGATGGAGAAAGAGGTCATGACTTAGCTAATCATGGAGAGTATAGAGAAAGGGAAGAGAATGGAATATAATTAAGATGGAAGGTTTCCTTTAATCCACCATTCCAATAATAGGCTCATTTCATCTAAATGGCCTCCATGTATAAGGCTCATGAACATGCATTTAATGCAAAAAAATTATAATCATGAAAGAATGATAAAGTTAAATGATCAAAGTAACTAATAATAACATGAAGCGGCTCAACTCAATTAGTTGGGATTGCGGTTATTAAAGCTAAACTAGTAAAAAGTAGGCTTACATGTTTTGTGCATGTAACCAATAATATGAGTAGAACAATTAGTGGGGAATGATTGAAATGAACATGGTTAGACCAAAGGTTGTATGAATAGTTTTTGTGCAAAATAGATTTAACACCTCACATGGCATTTAACAAGAATGGATGAGGAATCAGTTTACGTGAAGACAACACTATATTGTTGGGGTAAGGTAATTGATGGCGCCCCTTTAATAGATTGTCACATGGCATAAAATTGAGATGTCAGGTGGCATAAAATTTTAATGAACAGTTCCTTAGACATTATGATGAATTGGTTTTGCGAAAGTAGCTGAAATTGGCAAGTGTTACTTCATTGGCACTTACTCTTCGAAAATTAATGCACATCCCGCCAAGATCATGCATATTAAGAGATCTAATACATACCTTAAGACAATGAACCATATAACCCATGCGTTTATACGAATCATGATCAAAGTATTGGGAATTAGACAAGTAAAAGATATGGGTTTAATTTTTAATTTGAATTTTGATATTTGGCCGAGAATTTGACAATTGACAATGTCGGGTGTTGTTTTTGTAATAAGGCTAGAGTTGCGTTATGATAATTTTGCTTGAGCATTCATATCCTACAACTATAAATCATAATACAGAAATATAGGATGGAGCTTAACGACACAAAATAAGGATAGAAGGTCTAACATTAGTATATAACAATAGTATATGACAAGTTTAGATTTTAGCTAAGCAATGCATCATATGCTTTTTTTTTGCAGGCAAGGTGTAGAATTTGATCTTTATTTTCTTAAACAAAGCTTTAATAAAAATCATCTTTGTATAAATTAAAGGTTTTGTTTTCAGATTGATGCCGACTTTGAGATGTCATTTGCATTTTATATGATTTTCTTCCATTCATTTTTTATTCCATTGAATTATTTTTATCATAACAAAATTATTATTATTGAGAATTGATACGCTATCAACAAATTTCCATCCTTCGGCACGAATCTCAAAGCATGACATGGATATCAGGGCGATTTTTTGGATATGAAATTTGAAACTTCGATTTAAAGTTATCCACTTCCTTGAATTCAACAAACTTAACAATAAATTGCTCAGTTCGACGAGTTAGACCCAATGGCACCAAAATCGGTCCAACTCGAGTTAAATCATGCCCCGTTCAAGCTAATGATGTCCGTAGGCTAGAAGGGCCCAAGTTGGGAACTGCACAAGCTATGAACCACTAAGTTGTAGCTGGTCACATATGCCTTAATAACTTGTGTGATGGTTTTCCGTGCATTGCTAAGACGTTAAATTAATACTCTATCACCATGAACCTTTTAGCACACATCTATTTGACGTCGTCTGTAGGAAGCAAATTCTCGTTTGACGCTGTCTTCAGCTCTAAGACATTGAGCCCCTACTTTGTTTTCCAATGATGATCATCCAACCGGTGAAAGAATCTTTTTTGCATCTTGAAGATCATCTCTAAATCATTCTTCGGTGTGAGGGGCAACCTTCATTGCAGTCTCGAAGGGTTGATCACGTTGATGTCCAGGGCGCGATTGTAGTTGGATAGTCTTCTTACATTCTATGTAGATACAGTCTTTCACAATTTCTTCCAGGATGGAGGGCAACTTCACTGCGGTTCCAAAGTTTGATCATGTTACGGCCCCGGGCACGGCCGTGATAGGTTAATCATCGCACATTTCATTCAGGCAACAAGTCTTTGAAAATCACTTCTAGATTAGAGGCAATCTTTATCACAAATAATGCTTTCTTAGCATCCTCTCACCTTACTAGAGTTTCTCTTCAACCAGATCAGGAAGCCAATCTCTTCAAGGCTCGATACATGAGATTTTTAACAAGCTCGTGTGGAAAATACCCTTGTCGAGGGACAACAAATTCAAAAGCAGTAGCTAGCAAGTTGCCAAATATCATTCTTGAGTATGGGTGCAACTATATATTTAAGAACATACAGTCCATTATGATCTACGCCTCAGTCTTAATAAATGCAGAGCATCTCTGACACCTCTTCTGGGCTTGATCACAAGGGGATTCAATTCGACCTTTTGCATCACAGACTAGTCGTCAAGTAGAAGTTTCAACTAATAACTTCGGAAAGGTCAAAAATATTTGGTAAATTTCTCTAGAACTCTTCAAAAACATATTATAGTTGTCAAACAAAAACTTCAACCAACAACCTGAGACGAGTCAACCATCCTTGATGATTTTATATGACCTTGTTCATAACTGGTTAATTTTGTCGAGCATCTTCAGATATACAACCCAAGACAGGTCTTGCATCATTTATGAATTCTCCTTTCAATTCTGCTCTAACACAATCTACAGTCATCAAACTGACGCATTTCGACTAATAGCCTAGGAAAAGTCAAACATTTGTAGTGGCAGACAAAGTCTCCACACATACATTTCGAAGTCGTGCCCAAGAGACAAAACTCGATGAGAAGATACGGTGCTCCTAGAAGACAAGCCTAAGAGGCAAGTCTCGAAGAAAAGCTATAAGCCTAAGTGACAAAATTCAATGGGAAGCTACGGTGCTCCTAGGATATAAGCCTAGAAGACAAATCTTGATGGGAAGCTATCATGTATTTGGAAGTCGAGTCCAAGAGGCAGAACTTGATGGGAAGATATGATACTTGTGGAAGTCGAGCACAGAAGACAAAATTTGATAGTAAGCTACCATTCCCCTAGAAGAAGAGCCTAAGACACAATTCTTGATAGGAAGCTAGTAATGGACAAGTTCCTCGCTAAAAAGTCTCCATGAGAGCAAATGATTGACAAAATTTTCACTCAAAGACCTCAGAAAATTATAAGTCATAGAAGACACAGATACATCAAATTCCTTAGAACTTTACGAGTCTTAGAAGATACCGACACATCTCAAGCTCTTAAAAGGCATAAGCTTAAGAAGACATAAATCTCAGAAGATATAAGTCTAAGAGGACACAAACATAAGAAGACACGAGTTTCAAAAGGTACGTGATTCCTTTTTATATAGTGTCCTT